GCCAAGTGAAAACTTTTATTTGATTACCAAATTGAAGAGGTCTGTTGCACCAGCTAAGTCAAAGCATAAATGGAGTAGCAGTATGCATATCAAAAGTCAGTAGAAAGCTGTCAACTGATTTACCTTCAGCCCTGTAGAGGTGTTTAGGCTTTGTGCACATTGATGGTGCAATGATCGAAAGTGAGAATGGCGGCAAGAGCCACATTGAGAGACATCGCAATGGTAGCGATGAATGGAGACCACATTTGTTTGCTATTTAAGTAGTAAAACACTCCAGCCATCGCTAAAATCGCGGCAATCACGGTTAGCACAATGGCTAGGATGTCCATCCAGTCCTTTCCTTTTGCCACTTTAAGAATGAGGAAGATGACGGCAAAAAAGATAACCACACCAGCTGTAGTGAGGAGGGCGCCAGCTGTCAGGTTAACCGAGTTTTTTACACACGCCTTGCCCAAAATGCTGCCTCTACAATCCCATCCACTGTAGCCGATCGCCGTGAAGAAGAGGATGACAGCAATGAGAGCCAATACAATGTGACCCACTTGGTGATCCCTTCGCGACATGGTGAGTTAAAAGCGTGGTGTGAGGCATCTCATGACATAAGGACTCATTTATAGTTGTAATACTTTGCTTGGCTTTGCTGTCATTGGCTTTGACAACTAGCTAAGGGAGGCACACAGGTATTCGCATTTACAAATAAGCAAGTTTAGGCACGGAGACCGTGGCTTTTCAGACTCCACCTCGCTTAACTTCATCAGCTTCACGATAAAAAGGACCGTCTGTCCATCGCAATTGTCGAGTGGAAAGGAGCATCATCAAGTCCTTTGACTCAAATTTTTGGATTTTCTTAGGCATGAAATAATTTGCTTTCCCCTGTACTGCACCAATTAATTTACATCTGTCCTTTTCTTACCTCTTCTAGTCCCTCTTTCGTTTTATATTCGCACAAGTTTCGAGGCGCGATGGAGTCCCTTTTGATACTCACTTTAGCATTCTGCTGCGGCAGATTCGACAGAAATTAATCAACACAAAATATCTAAAAATGTACATTATGGGAGGACTGAATGAAAATTTTCCAAGTCTCTTTTTTGTTAACACCAAACTCATCCCGCATACCTCATTTAAGGAGGAGCAAAATTGGCAGATACCTTTTACCGACAAATGCGGAAAATGGAGGTCTTGGAGAGGATTTACGAGAGAAACAGTCGGATTTGTGCATGAATATCCCATCCTAGGGCTACAATGTTAAGTTAGTTTCTAAAAACGGAGAAAATAAGTTGTTTAAATGAGAAGCTACGGTTGGGAGAGTGTCACTTGAGAGACGTCTGCGTTTGATAGCTGCATGCTTGATTGTCTCCATTGTTCTCCAACACCGTGATTTGGCCTCTCTGGAGGTTGGGGAGAACTTAACCCCTCCTCATCCGACATTACGCTCCTTAGTTGGATAATAGCTTGA